ACACACACATACGCACAACCACACACAAACACAAACAAAACACGCACCCGCATTCTGGACAAGAAGCCAAGACACAATGGCATCGTAATGGGCGTGTTTACGAGTGTGTGTGTGTGTGTGTGTGTGTGTGTGTGTGTGTGTGTGTGTGTGTGTGTGTGTTTATGTGTGGGAGAGGTCATGTTCACACACCGTTCTATTTTGGAACGCGCTGAAGGAGGGAAGTGTGTGTGATGATGGATTAGAGACACACACACATACACACCGCTAACACAGGTCGCTACGGGAATCCCCCACCTCTATCACCAACTGACACACACACACACACACACACACACACACACACACACACACACACACACACACACACACACACTTAGTAGACACACTTAGTAGACACATTTCAGAACAGACACATTCAAACTCATACAATTAAAAGCACATTATTTGAAAACGTATGACCTTGAGAAATAATATGCAAATTTGAAATACAATCTCATAAAAATACAGAATTAAATGTTTTACTGAGTGTTTTTTGGGTGAATTGAAGACAGAGGGTGACCTACAACTTGCACCAAGCTACATTGAACTAGGTAAAGTTGTTTTTCAGAGCTTTGGTTATTTTATTTTCAATTGTCAGTGGTACTGGTACACCCTGCTGAATCTGCCTTATATATTTTTGGGTAATTGTGTTTTTCTTTCTGCTCTAGTCTTTGGCATGCTGAGCGGGCTCCAAGCGGAGTTTCACGATCCCATGAAACTCATTCAAAAGCCACTGTACAATTCAAAAGTTGCTGTTCAATGAGAAAATGAGTCTGTTTTCCTCCGTTTTGCGTGTGTTAGATGTCTGCCTGGTCATTTATGTGTGATGTTTTATGATCCAAAAATACATGGGCGTGATTGAGAAGAACCATTTTCCCCCTAAATTCCCCTTGAATCAGACATTTATACAGAGCTTACATGCTGAATCAGTTTCAGGGTTTTGTGATTGGATAATTTCATAAAAATGAGCCAAACTGTGAAAA